CTAGAGTTGCAGAGGATGCATGGGGCAAGGATCTTTAGGAGGTGGGGAATCTGGAGGGAAAATAAAGGTCTAACCAGGTGAGCTTCCTAAGTCTGTTGATGAAGACAGTGACTTCTCCCCACAACCTTTTTTTTTTGGTGTGTGTGTGTGTGTGTGTGTGGTGCTGGGGATTGACTCAGGGCCTTGTGCATATAAGGCAAGCACTCTACCAACAGAGCTGTGTCCCCAGCCCTCTCTCCTACCCCTTTGCCTGCAGCTGACAAAGCCAGTCTGGAGCCCCTTCCTAGACCTGGAGGGGAGGGAGGGAAGGGAAAGAGGGAGGCTGGTTGTGTATTGGGACTTCACAGAAACAAATTCCCTGCCAAAACAGTAAGTTTTTAGAAGTTGTAAGCTAATTTAGTCTTTTTTTTTTTTTCTTTCCTTTTTTGTGGTTCTGGGGATCAAACCCAGGGTCTTATGCTAGGCAGGTACTGGACCACTGAGCTACATCCCCAGCCCTGCTTTGGACATAGTTGATGAGGAACTATCATGGGAAAACTTTTTCCAACTGTTAAAGTTGTTTTTGGAGACAGGTGTCCCACTAGATGGCCTAGGCTGGCCTCACACTCCTGAGCTCAAGTGATCTGCCTCAGTATCCTGAGTGGGACAACATGTGTGTGCCACAGTGCCTGGCTCTGTCATCCCGTTTTGCCACACATTCTCTTTATTAAAAAATAAATAAAATAAAATTACTGTAGTGGGCTGGGGGTTTAGTTCAGTGGTAGAACCTTTGTTAGCATGCATGTGGTCTTAGGTTTGATCCCCAGCAATACACACACACGCACACGCGCGCGCACACACACACACTACTGTGGCAAGAAACCTCTCCTCCTTTTTTCCCCACACATGAAGAAACTGTCCCTGAGGGAAGAGACTTGCCTCATGATGAGTGTCGGACCCAGTACTCCAGGAAAGATCTGGGCTGAGATAGGAGAGATGGGAGTGGTGTCGAAGCCCAATCTGATCTGGCTCTCCAGATCATAAGTCAGTTTCTTGCCTGAATACCAGAAAATCCCAGATCTCAGAGGCTCTTGGATGTGGGACTTTGTGTGCCAGTTTCTGGCCTTGGTAGTTACACAGATGCAAATGAATTCATATGAATTCACTTTCATTTAAAAAAAAAAGGGATTGGGGATGTGGCTCATTGGCAGAGCACTTGCATAGCATGTGCAGGGCCCTGGATTCAATCCCTAGCACTATAAGAACAACAAAAACACTAGCTGCTGCCCTTTTTTGGAAGTGGGAACCACCAGGACCAGCATTCACTGAAAGCCACAACTAGGCTTCAGACTATAGAAGTTGGGGCTCTCTGGGGTATAAGAAATAAGAAATGCGTATAGCAAAGTCCAGTGCAAATGAGTGATTAAGTAGATAGCTTGGTTGGCCGGCCAGGTGGTAGGACCTTGAAAGTGGGGGACTTGGCAGCATGAGCAGCAGGGCATCCTGGGCAAGTTCCTCGGGTGGCTACTGAAGAGAGTTGGGAAGAGGCTGGAGGCATGAGGTCAGTTAGGTCAGCTCTGGGTAATGAGGCTGGAGCTGCTAGAGACCTCCCTGGAGACGGGGGTTTGTAGCTGTCATGTGTGGATTTCCACTTATCAACATCTTTCTTCTTAAAAGTCTCCTGTTGCTGAACACAATAGTGCATGCCTAGAATCCCAGCTACTGGGGAAGCTGAGGCAGGAAGAGCATAAATTCTAGGCCAGCCTTGGCAATGAAGTGGGACCTTATCTCAAAAATAAAAGGGCTGGAGGTGTGGTGAACAGGTGTAGGGAAAAAAGTCTCATCTTGTTGGTCAATCACAATTGACTGAACTCTTTCTTAGTTATTGGGCATTTACTAACTTAAAAATTTTTCTTTTGTGGTACTGGGGCTCAAACCCAGAGCCTTGCTGTTAACGACCCTTGCTAAATTGCTGAGGCTGACTTTGAATTTGCAATCCTCCTGCCTTAGCTTCCAAAGTTTCTGACTTGGGCCATCTTGGCATTGAAGTGGGACCATATCTCAAAATAAAATTTTGGCCATCATACCCAATTGAGGTTTAGGTGTCTTTTTTTTTTATATTTATTTTTTAGTTGTAGTTGGACACAATACCTTTATTTCACTTATTTATTTTTAAGTGATGCTGAGGCTCAAACCCAAGGTCTTACACTTGCAAGGCAAGTGCTCTACCGCTGAGCCACAACCCCAGACCAGTTTAGGTGTCTTTGAAAGGTTCTATGTATAGACTCGAGAGTCTGTAAATATAGGTATATGTGGATGTATTTACACACATACACATAGGTGTGCCTGTTTACTCACAGTGTAGGCAACACTGGGGTTTATCTTTCCTTCTCCCTATTTTAACCTTTGTCAGTTTAACTCATTAGGAGTATTACTAAAACTGTGTATGTCTGACATGGATTTTTAAAAATTAAATTAATTTATTTTTGGGATTGAAATCAAGAGTGCTGTATCAATGAGATACATCCCCAGACTTTTTAAAAATTTTAATTTTGAGGCAGGGTCTCACTAAATTTCCCACATTAACCTTGAATTTGTGATCCTCCTGTCTCAGCCTCCTGAGCAGCTGGGATTACAGATGCGCCACCACGTCCAGTTTAGGAGCAGTATCCTTACTTCTTTAGAGGACAACAGACTGATTTTGGTGAGGGAAGGAACACTTTGAATTTCTGTAGTGGACACAAATTCTCCCGCAGGAAACAGTGACGCTTGCACTTTAACGACCCCTCTTTCTCTTCAAAGGCCCTGGGAGTTGTTACATATTTTTATAAAATTTATAAAGTTAAGAAATTTTAGCAGGTGTGGTGGTACGTGCCTGTAATTTCAGCAGCTCCGGAGCCAAGGCGGGAGGATCGAAAGTTTAAAGCAGCTTCAGCAACTTAACAAGGCCTCAGCAATTTAACAAGTGCTGGGGATATAGCTTTAGTGGTTAAGCATCCCTGTGTTTAAAATAAAATAAAAACCTAATAACAATCAGCTAAGACCACTGTTTTATTCTACTATTTCTCCTCCTCACTGTTCCCTTCTGTCAGGTGACCTTGTATTGGCCCTGAACATTTTTGTGCATCTGGAAAGGCTGAGTTATGAATATGTTTGATTTAGGTGTCTTTTTTTTTTTTAAAGGTAAATTTGGGGAATATTGCCATTTTATTTTTTTATTATTTTTTTTAAGAGAGAGA